CAAAAAAAAAAAGAAAAGAAAAGAAAAGAAAAAACTTCAAACCTTCTTTGAACTTTTTCCTTCTGAGTAGCCTTTTAGATCCTTTTCTCTAAAATTGGATGTGAAACTTTCCATAACACAGCTGTTGTGAGAATGATGGATAAACCAATCACATATGTGCAACAAAGTTACTAGAAACCTATCAAAAGAGAGGATTTTGTTGCTGAAAATCTGGCTATTCCTTTCCGACCATGGGCTACCATAAGAACACTCTCAAGAGTAGATGATTGACTTCTCTTTTCTGACCAGATGGCCTACCAAAAAAGCAGATAGAAAAAAGTTTATATTGGCTGTCATTGGAGTCTGCATCGAAAAGAAGCTAAGAGCAGGCTCCAAAATTTGCTTGTAAACTCACATGTTATTGATAAATGCCCCTACGTTTCATTCTTTCTCACACATGATTCCCCAATTAGGCAAGATTGGTGAAATGGTTATGGTGAGCCATCTTCTTTGAATTATTCACGTGTGCATGTTAGTAGGATATTCATCCATCCAAATCTTGTTCTTAAGTAAGTATTCCTGAGTAGATTGTAGATGAGATCCTTCAAAATAGATCTCACCGAAAAGTTGTTTGGGGATCATACAGCCATATCCATATGTCATCTGGAAGGCTTGGGGAGATCAATGAGAGCTTAGGGAGAGGACAACCGATTCATTCCATCGTTTCTTTCTCATCCATGAATCTTCAGAATCTGAATCCTAAAATTATAACAGATGGCCACAAATCACTGCCGATTGCTGGCTTGAAGAGGTCAGAGAGTACAACCTAGGGAAAAGGTGAGATCCTCGAGAGCCACACTCTCCTTAGAAATTACATTCTTCAAGGTCTGGTCTTCTACCCATTTATCAAGCCAAAATCTGATTCTTCTTCCATAGCTAAGTTCAGGGAATAATTATTTCCAATTAAATATGATCGTTTTGTTCTAGAAAACCAAGGAGATCTTATACTTCCTCTCTTTCATATATTAGTCATCTATCCCATTACTATCAATTTGTATTTTCTCTTTTAATTTTGTTTTAAAATTCTCCCTTTCTTTATATCCCTCCATAATAAAACGTCATTCATTTTCTTTAAGCTTCGTAAACCCCCATTTTTCAGAGGCGGAGAAATAGTTTACAATTCTTGATAGTACTGCTTGTATAGGCTTCAGCTATCCAATATCCACCTTTGGCAATACAATAAATCTAGCCAAAGTTTTCTCCATTTTCTTCTTCAGAGGCACATGCCATACGTGGCCATCTCTCCTGGTTGGTGTTTATTGTGTAGAAGTGTTGATGAATAGCAAAACCATCTTTTTTATTATGACCTTCATGATGTTTCAACCTTTTTTGAAGGATCAAGAAGAAATTGACTTGTTTTCTTTTTCATTTTAATGAGATAGCTGGCTTTTATACGTTATTGAAGTCTCTCTGCCTAATGGTTTATGACTATTGTACCAAAACATTATAATTATCGTTTGACTAGAAAACTATTGTGGTGCCGGCAATATTTTGTTTATATATCTACTGATAAGAATTTCAAGTGCTGAAGTAGGTGAAACAATTTCATAATCAAGTTTCTATAGAATTTTTAGTGTGGAAGCGGATAGAGATGAATATGTTCTGGCTTAAAATTCAGAATATGATGTATTGGATTTCCTCGATGATGGGAATGGGATATGGCTTACACAATAAATTAAAAATTCGAAATGTTGCACTGGCTGTAGTACCAGTGACACTTGATATATTATGCCTGCTGGCTTGATGATAATAAATGAGGGTTACTTTCTTATTGGGTTAAATGCTATTAATGTAACATTTCTAGTTGGCCTGATCATGAGATAAGGTGGAGACAACAAAATTGGAACATCGTTCTGGCATTCTGACCTGATTATTAGTAATGTCCTTGTTTTACTTGATTCTGATCCCTCTTTTTAGCAAGGACCAACGGAGGCAAAATGAAAATATCAAGTCGCAAGACAACCAAACTAGAAATAATGAAATTTGTTGAACTGTAAATTTTATGTTGTTAATTTAAACATCTGTCATGATTGCTTATGTATTTTTCAGCTTTTAGTGAGCTTCTGGCAAGATGAAAGTGAACATGTCCGTATGGCTGCTCGCTCTTTGTTCCATTGTGCAGCTTCACGTGCAATTCCACTACCACTAAGAGGTAGAAGGTCAACCGAACATGGAGGTCTGAGTGAAATTGGAGATAGTGACAATGAACTCGATTGTTTGAACGTGAATGAGAAGTCTGATAATGTAATATCTTCTGCCTGCATTCCTAAAAGTGAAGAGGTCTCTCAGGTTGAGGAATTCAGTGTACGCAACTGGTTAGAAACTTATGAAATACAAGATTGGATTTCTTGCGTTGGGGGAAAGAGCCAAGATGCACTGACTTCTCATCTAATAGTTGCAGCAGCACTATCCATTTGGTACCGCAGTCTTGTGAAGAAAATCCTACCAATGCTGGTTGTTCATTCCTTAGTAAAGTTGGTAAAGTCCATGAATGATAAATATAGTTCCACTGCTGCAGAGCTCCTTGCTGAAGGTATGGATAACACATGGAAAGCTTGTCTGGGTAATGAAATTCCTCATCTCATCGAAGATGTATTACTCCAGCTGGAATATGTAAGTGGTCCATCTGCAAATCAGTTGGTTCAAAATTCAGCTCTTCCTGTGAGCATACGGGAGACTTTGGTTGAAGTTCTTCTCCCAAATCTGGCAATGGCTGATATACCTGGATTCTTGACAATAATAGAAAGCCAGATTTGGTCTACTGCATCTGATTCACCTGTTCATCTGGTGTCACTTAAGACACTGATCAGGGTTGTGCGTGGTTGTCCTAGAAACCTGGCACCATATCTTGACAAGGTTTGTTCTAAGTTCTATATAAAATATTAATTAAATTGAAACCATGACTTTCTATGCATTTTCATGGAGATTTGTTCATACTGAATTAGTATGAAGGACACTCTCTGCTCTGAGTTATTGTTTCGGCATCTTAAGATGACCTGAATTAATCTTCGTACCCTCTATAGCCAATATAATCCATGTTCCCCATCAAGAAATAGATGATTCTCTCCTGGGATTAGCGGTAGAAGAAAACTGTGAATGAAAAAATCGAACTTTTCAATTGATAAAAAACTTGACTAATTCGGGGGAGCACGTGCATTCTTTTTGGAGTGGGATAAGATGGCCTTCCAAATTTCAATGTTTAGTTCAATAATCATTCGCTCAGATTATAAGAATTTGTTATCACGGGTTGTAAGTTAAAGACGATGTACTTTGTTTGACCTTTTACTACCTAACTACTTTTGGTTCCATAATTCTTGCCATTGAAATCTCATCTCATTTAGTACTGCAGGCTGTTAACTTCATTTTGCAAATCATGGATCCCAGCAACTCAGTCTTGCGTAAAATTTGTTATCAGAGCTCAATGGCTGCTCTAAAGGAAGTGGTGCATGTCTTTCCTATGGTATCATTAAATGATTCATGGACCAGATTGGCAGTTGGTGATGTTATTGGAGAGATCAACAGTGCTAGCATTCGTGTGTATGATCTACAGAGGTCAGAGCTAACATGCATATTCTCTATCATATATATATGTATATTTCTATTTTGGTGTAATTCTTCATGTTCAAAATTCAAATCTAAAATCTGAAAAAAGAAAAATTCACCAAACAAATATTAGATTCAGTGAATCTGAACACGAGAAGCAGAATTCAAATCGTGTACCAAACAGGTAACTTTTCTTCCTTTTATGGAAACAGTGTGACAAAGATTAAGGTTTTGGATGCGAGTGGACCTCCTGGACTTCCAAGTTTGCTTGCTGCAGGTTCAGAAAAGGCAGTAAGGACCTCAATATCAGCTTTGAGCTTTTCCCCTGATGGAGAGGTATGTGTTACTGTTCCATTGTAAAATTCATTATCCTATTGGGTCTCGATATCATTGTGGACAATAAAGTTTATGCCTGTTGGCTAACCGTATTTTCATTTGACATTGATACTTGATATCATTTGGAAAAGGGAATATTTTATACTGATAGATACACTCATCAAGTGTTTGCACTTCAGAATCTAAATTCTGAACTATAATGATTTTAACTGATTCATTTTAATTGAAGGGTTTAATACCAGTTTACCAGGTTAAAGAAAAACCCTTTCCTGATCATATATAGAATCTGAGTAAGATGGTGGTCCTCTGAATCAAAAAATCCTATCCTTGTTTAAGTCTACTGAAAATAAGGATTGGGACTAATTTCTCTTCTATTTTTTCTCAGAAGGTAACTTACGTTGAGTAATTGCCCTAAAATTTTAATTGTAATTCTTTAGTGTCGATTTTTATTTGGAGTCAAAGGTAATCCTTGGTAAATGAGGACCTCCTAGAGATTCTGGATTAAGTTCGACATAGACGAAGTTCCTGTTTAGTTTTGAATGATAGATTTTTCTTCACTACTAAAGTTGAGCTAGGAACACATTGAAGCTTGAGCTGAATTTACTTGTTATTAGCCTTAAAAAATGACTGAATACAAAGAGCATAAGAAAAAGTAACTCCCAAAAGGATTCAATTTTTATTTGAAATCACTGGCGACCCACAGTAACAAAGCACATCCTAGAGGTTCTGGATTAAGTTTGACATAGGCGAAGTTCTTGGTTTCTATAGTTAGTTCTTGGACTCCCCTTTTGTTTGAGCTTTATCAATGAAAACTCGGACTTTTGCACAAAAAAAAAAAGAAAGAAAGAAAGAAAGAAAGAAAAAAAGAAAAGAAAAGAAAAAAAAGGCTCCTGTCAGGCAAAATAAGACCTAATGGATAATTACAAAAAATCTTACATGCTGAAGCCCAAAGAGAGGCATGAAACCAAACGAGGGACAAAACCTCCTCTCAAGGTTAATAATTTAGGGCTGCTGATTATTTACATGCCCTTTCCATAAATTTATTAGACTGAGCGATGATTGTAAAACAGAGTACTTCATAATTCCAACTTGAAGTGTCTTAGAGGCTGTCAAGATGGTTTGATTTTTGGTCAGAAACATAACAGACTTTAGATAACAGTTTTTGTGTTTCAAAAGGATTCAGAGCAAAGGTATCTCTTAAAGGAGCTATATGAGATGTGACATTAAGATAATAAACTATGTTTTTGATAAATGTAATTTACTAGGCACAATGCTGCCAAAATCAAACAAGTCATAAAAATTTCCTATGATTGGTAGAAATCATAAAAAGGTAAAAGTTACGAAAATGTCTATTACCATCCATACCTGCATCCTGGGAAGAACTCCTGTTTCTCTGCAATTAAATATCCCTAAGAGTGCATTTAATCGATGTAAGGTTCTTTTAAAGAAGAGGTTGCTGACAGGGTTGATTTTTGAGCTTCATATTATAGAGCACCCATTTGACCAATGAGGAAGATATTTGGATGTGTCCTTTTGAGAAGAATGGGAGTTTCTCAACAAAATCTCTGCTCAGCAGCCTTGTCTCCTTGACCGTGGAAAATCCGTGCCTTTTTACGAAGGCCATTTGATTCAGAAATTATTCAAAGAAGATAAAATTCTTCATTTGGGAACTTGCACACATGCCTCTTTCTTCTAATAGGTGTATCCTTAGCAAAGCTGATTTGGAGAGACAATGCCACATTTTTATCTGTCGTCACTTTGCACGGCTCTTTTGGAATGCTTTGAGGGTTGCTTTCAACTGGAGGTTGACCTTACCAAAGGACCCCCACACTTAAATTTCCTCCTCTCGGGCCATCATATTGAGCATAGGAAGGAAATTCTTTGGTTGAATCTTGTTTGGCCTTTTTTGTGGTCGGTTTGGATTGAAAGAAACCATAGAACTTTTTAGTCCAACGAAAAGACATTCGGTCTTTTTTTTTTTTACGCTTGATATTTTTGGTGCATTGTTGGACTGTGCTTAAAGTTGTACGACTGTATAAATTACAGGGTGTGGTTGCCTTTTCTGAACATGGCTTAATGATCCGATGGTGGTCATTGGGATCTGTATGGTGGGAGAAACTAAGCCGCAACTTTGTTCCTGTTCAATGCACCAAAGTGATATTTGTTTCTCCATGGGAGGGATTCTCGCCCAATTCTTCGAGGTTAAGTATAATGGCAAGTGCAACAGACTCATCTGATAGGCAAGCAGATGTGCAGGTAATTTCTAAATTAATAAAAATACCCCTCAACTTTTCACTTTATAATACCCCTAAACTTTCAAAAAATTTAATAACCTTTGACTTTCAAAAAATAGTCTAAAAAATACTCTTAAATTTTAATAAAAATTCAAAAATACCCTTACTGTCCTTTACGGTTAGGTCCTTTACGGTTAGGTTTGTATGAAAGTGGTTAATACTTTGTTTAAAAAAAAAAAAAAAGACTCCTAAGCGGGTTTCAAAAATACCTTTTTAACTTTGAAAATTGTTTAAAAAATACAAATTTTTATTAATACCCTTAATTTTTTTTTTAAGAACTCCAAATTACCTTTGAACTCTTTTAAAACCTTCAAAAACATCTTTTTAAACTTTTTTAAAAACTTCAAAAGCACCTTTAAATATTTTTTAAAAATTAAAAAATGTCCTTACCGTTAGTACCACGTTTCAAAAATACTCATGAACTTTCAATAGTAATATTAAAAAGTTTGAAGATAATTTATGAGGTGTCTATAGATGGTTTCGTTCATATATTGACGGTAAGAAATTTTTTGTACTTTTTTTGTTTTATAAAGGTGGTGTCGATGCTATTGGGCATTTTTAAACAAAATATTAACGGCAAAGGTATTTTTTAACTTTTTAAAAAGAACTTTTTAAAGTTTATATTTTTGAACCATTCTTGAAAGTTCAAGGGCAAAATACTTCAAAATTAATGGTAAGAATATTTTTAGATTTTTTTTTTTAAGTTTTAGGTTTTTATTGAAACTTTTGAAAGTTTAAGGGTATGTTTTAAACAAAGTACAAATTTTAAGAGTATTTTTATTAATTTAGCCTTGCAGATAAAATCTGAATTCCTAAATTCAATTTCTATTTACCTCAGGATTAATAGAATTTATAGTGATTGAGTTTGGTATGATGCTTAATTATTACGTTTTTATAGAGAAATTTGGTCAATGATCCATTGATAAATGCACTAATTCTTCATGCAAATTCTTAGAGAATGTGGAATATGGTTTCTAACGTTGGTGTAGTTACATCTCTTTTTGTTGGCTGCTGTCCTGTTTAATCGCATTTTCTTTGCCAAAACTTAGTAGGATGGTTTTGGTTAATCCCTCTAATATAAGTAATAGGTCCATTCGGCCTTTTAATTTTTCCCGTTTTCAGCCTTGTGCATTTGAAACACCGAGCACCGTATACAATGACTGAATTTCCTTTTCCAGGACTACGTAAGGGATTTGAGTCATGCAGACATTTTGAAGATTTTGATTCATAGTCTCGATCTTTCTTATCGGCTAGAATGGACTGGCGAACGGAAACTTCAACTCACACGGCATGGAAATGAGTTGGGATCTTTTCAAATATAAGCGTACTTTTGTGCAAACCAGTTGGCAAGGCCCTCAAGGAAACATCCTTGAACATTCAGACTAGGAAGTCTCTTAAAAGTTAAAAACCATCATGAATTTCCTAGTTTCCATCCTCTTGCTTGCTTACCACTAGTTCAAGGCTTTCGGGCTGTGGTTCTGTATTTCCTGATTAAGTCGGCCCACGCGCAACATGAAGAATTTAAAAGGCGTCTGTCTTCTTGTGGCCTTCCCAGGATATATCTTCAATTGTTGCTTCTTTGAGGGAGAAATGAAAGAAAAGAATCTGATATGCATTTTTCTGGTATGATCATGTTATCAATTCATCACTCTTAAAGATTTTCGATTTTTTCTCCTCATGTATTCCCAGTCTTCTCAAGATCGACTTTCTTCGAGTCTCCACGGGTAGTAATTGCTATTTTTGCATAGCTTTGGTTACAATATTGTATTTAATTTATATGTTTTAGCAGCTTGTTTATAAAAGTTGCATGTAATGTTGTCTTGTTTTTGTCTGTGAAACCCAAACCTTATTATTTTAGAGAGGAAGTTACCATAGAGCTGTGTTGGGTAATCCATTCAATATGGAACTGATGTTGCTGCTTTATTTTTCCTTTCTACTTTTTCTCCATTGGCTTACTTTTGGATTTGTATTATCAACGAATATGTTGAATGTTCATGTAGATTAAACAAAATGGAGCTAAACTCTAAGCACTGAAATATCTGAGTCAATTTATTGGAAAAAGAAAAACTGCAATTAAGGTAATTGTATATCTCATTTACCTATCTTATCATATAATTATCAATGAAAACAATTTCAAGATGATTGTAAATCTTCTTTAAAATATTCATTTTCTGTTCAAGGTGTTCTCAATATCGTAAACTCATGAATAGTAATTTTCATTTGTACAGCAACCATTGCAAGCCATTGTCGAAGAAATCGACGATGACGTTGAGTAAAGTAACGTAAAAAAATAATGTGATTTCTATCCCAACCTTACACTTTGCAAAAGGAAAAAGAAAAATGAGATTCTAAATGCCAGAAAGGAACTGCAATTGCTTGAGAAGAGGGGTTAGAGTCTCCATTAATTTTTCAGATGGATGGTTATGAATCCCTTCATATGTTGTCACCACTATGGTTGGATCCTTGGAATGCCGTTGAATTTGTTTCTTAACGTTGCATGTATGATGCGTACATCGGTAATAGCTCCTGAAAAAAAAAAAAAAAGGCAAAAAATAAAAGAATTTTCTTAATTTATTTCAATCCAATAATAATTTTTCTCGATTCTTTCCATTTATAACGAACGAAAGAAGAAGAAAGATTATAATCTCGAGTGAATGAACACCGTCGTTATCTCTCACCCCCCTCTTATTAACTGATATTAACTTTATGGCTAACGTAAAAGGCTAAAGTAAAAATATTATTGGTTGAAAGTTACTCATCAAGGACATAATAGATACTCAATAATAAGTCATCATCTATCATCACGATTCGAACTATCCCATTTTTCTAAAAATGATAACAGTGAGATTCCAGATCTCATAATAGTTAGAAAAGAGAACGAAATACGTTTATAAGGGTGTGAAAATCTTGTCATAGTCGTTAAAGGTTAAAAGAAGGTACCTAGGATAAGTGCTATGTTTGACAGCCTTCTGACCATATTTCCTCCATCGATACCCATCGTCAAGAACATCCTCAGCGCTCCTTGTCTGAAAAGCAACCCTAGGAATTGCACCTCTTTTTCCCATCGCCATTTTCCCTTTGTTCTTCCCTCCATGAACATGAACATGACTCTCATTCTGGTAGTTACAGTCCCCCATGGCCATTATTGCACCCTCACTAACTCCACTGCCCTTCTCCATTTCCAAACTCACATCAGAGGAACCACCAAAAATCCCAACCCAATCAATTTCAGCAGCATCAGAGCTTTGGTAATTGACAGTACTAGAACTTGCCATTTCATGTGAATTATGAATGTCACCATCCATTACCATTTTTCCAAAAAAAACCCTCGAAGTCAAAACTTATATATTTTGAGAGAGAAGAGAGAGAGAAATAGAAGCTCATGTTTTGGGGTGGGGCAGTTGAACAGAATTTCTGAACTAGTTGGTATGTGTTTGTTGGGTTTAACTTAGTTTCAACTTTCAAGCTATGTCTTCTTCTCTCTCTCTCTCACTCTCTCTCTATAAATATATATATATATATTAAAGGATGGATGGATGGCTTGTGGATGTCGATGATGTTGTTAAACTGCCTCAGGGGGGAATGGGTTGTGGTAGTTTGGAAAAATGACACCTTTTTTTCAAATTGGGTTTCAAAATTAAACCTTTTTTTGAAATTGGGTTTCAAGTATTACAAGTAATTGCAACAGCTTTCTGGTATGTTCTTCATTTTATGGTTGCAGTCAAACTCCATGTTTTTTAACATCTTATCCAAACATTATTTTATGCCTCAATTTCTTCTTCAATTTCCTTAACTTTTAAGGTTTTCATTCTTTTTTTTTTTATTTTCCCATTTTTTCAAACGCACTTTCAAGTTCAAATTTAGAGGATATTTTACTTTAATCTTTAAATTTTTTTAAAAAATGACATTTTGGTCCTTACGGTAATTTTTCTTTTAACTAATAAACATTTGTGATCATAGGTAGATAAACGTTTTAGTTAGGGTAAGTAATGGGTAGGTAAATACCAATTCTTTCAATATAATCCTTTCAAAATTATTTAAATTATTTTGTTAAGTATTTGAGAAATGTGTTAATATATTTGAATTACCAATTTAATTATAATTCATTTTATTTTAACCTGTTAAAACATTTATATTTTATCCACCAAAAGTTCAAAAGTTAAAACATTGTCACCAACTATATAAAAAAAAATTAATAATAACAATTTGTTAATGGGATAAGGATCATGTGAGATCCCACATTGATAGAAGAGAGGAACGAAACATTTTTCATAATAGTGTGAAAATCTCTTCCTAGTATATGCATTTTAAAATTATGAGGCTGACAGCTATACATAACAGGTCAAAGCAGACAATATCTATTAGTGACGAACTTGAGCGGTTACAAATAGTATCAAGGCCAAACATCGGGTTGTGTGCCAGCGAGGATGCTGGCCCCCAAAAGGATGGATTGGGAGATCCCACATCAGTTGAAGAAGGAGGAACAAAACATTTTTTTTAAGGGTGTGGAAACATCTCCCTAATAGATTAAAACGTGAGGTTGGAGGCAACACATAACGGGCTAAAGCAGACAATATTTACTAGCGTCTAAAGCAAACATCTACGATTTGGATTTGGACATTTCCCAAAGTAATTTTAGTTCATAGTCATAACAATTAGTTAAAATGGTGAAATTAAGGGAAGCTCATTTAGCTATTCAATTAGCATAAAGATATTGCCTTTACTACTCATTTTCTTGACTTTAATCCCAACATTTAACAATTACAAGAGTTCTTTCCTCAATATCAATTACACATAATTTACATGATATCAAATTGTTAATAGATATCACATACTTGAAGCTCTCTTGATCAACCATCCCAAAGCATCTACCACTAATATCAATTTCTTTGAATTTGCTACTCAACCCTCATCACCATCATGTGTTCTTCCCAAATAATAGGAGAATCATAAGTTTCACAATTCTCAATCCACAACAATCTCTTTCCAAAACCACAAAACTTAGTCATTCAAAAAGCAAATCCTCCAAACCAGTAAACAAATCTTCGCTAGAGAATTCAAACGGTATATGCATCAAAACTCCCCCTTCACCCACACCCTCCATTGGCTGTTCTTCTTCAATGGATGCCACACAAGTAGAATCATTGGGAGAGAGAATCACGTCGAAGCTCGGATTCTCCGGTGCCGGGAATTTCTTTCGAGTAGTCCCGGCGAGGGCATTGCGACGAGTTGGCTCGGCATGGTTGTGCTCGGCTGTGTAGGTAACGACGAAGATGTTGGGATCGGAGAAGCTCCGTTCAACTTGCTTTCTGGCTGAGCATCCTTTTGAGGAGCTGCATCTGTAATAGCTTCTTGGATATGGCGACCCTTTTATTGGTTTCTGTCCATATTTTCTCCATCCCCATGAATCTGAGCATACACCGTCTGCTTTCACCTCTTTCACCACCCTATTTTGTCGACTTTTTTTGCTAATCGAACCAAAAAAACACAAAATTGTTCAGGATTATTGGGAGAAAATCTCACATTGGCTAATTCTCAGAAGGATCATAAATTTATAACTAAAGAATATATCTACGTTGGTACGAAGCCTTTTGAAGATGGACAATATCATACCATTTTGGAGATCGTAATTTCTAACAAAAAAAAAAAAAAAAAATCTTTTTATAAGAAAAAGAAACAAGAACATGGAAATTGAAGTACCCACCTTTGTTTTTGCTTAATAGCTGAAATTTGCTTCTTCTGAAGAAGCTTTTGTGGCTCCTTAAACTCTCCGAGAAGATCAGAAATGGCGGCGGAATTGTTTGGATAAGGAATCAAGGGATGAAAAACTGGAAAAATGGAGCTCCCAAATCCTTCAAATTCATGCGAAGAACAAGAAGAAGAAGAAGAAAAATCACAAGAAAAGTCATCTTCTTCGCTCAAAAAAGAAAAGAAAGGATCTTGAAGCATAGAGGTTGGCCTACTACTGCACCCTTTCACTATTGCCTGCAAATCCCAATCCTCCATGGATATCAAATTCAAAGATCACTTTGAATATAAAGTTTACAGCTTTGAGCCAATTCAATTTCCCCAAAACTTGTTTAAATAATTGAAGATATGGGATCTTTTGAAACCGTTGCCGCCGCTTTAATCTGTATTTCCATTGACTTTATTAAATGTCAACGCGTTTAAAAAAATGGGTTTTTTTTTTTTTTTTTTTGATAAATTAATATAATGTTATGTTATTTTCAGACCCTTTTCTTTCCTCTCTTTTAATTGGACAGTGTTGTTGATGATTATAGTTGTCCATGTTAGCAAGCTTTCCTCTTAAATATACAATAATGGCTTTAAAATTGTGTCCTTTTTTCCATTTGAGAGTTGATCAATTAGTTTTGATGCTTTGAACGTCTCGTTTATTATCGAATATTTTAATATCTTAATACGTAGATGTCATAGAGTTTGAATTCGTTTTCTCTAACTTCCTTTATAATATGTTCGGTATGAATTTTGAATGAAAAAGTTTTTATTACCTAAACACTTTTTTTAAAAAAAACTTAATTAAACCATTCTTTAAGAGTATTATTGATAAAACTTTTTATTCGATTTTAAAATTTCTCGAAAACCCCTTTGTACCTTTCGATACAAATTTGAGCCTTGCACTACAGATTTATATATATAAATATAAAAGTTGTACGTTTTAGTCATGCGTAATCTCAATCTATTACTCTTGTTTATAGCACGAGCCATAAAATATGAATAATATTGATATAGATCTGTTGGGGAAGGAAACAAAACATTTCTGATAAGAGAGTGAAAACCTATCCCTGGTCGACGTGTTTTAAGATTGTGAGGTTGGCGGTGGGCTTGAGTTTTTACAAATGGTATTAAAGTCAGACACTGGGCAATGTGTCAAGACGTTGGATCCTCAAGAGAGGTGGGTTGTGAGATCCCATATCGACGGGTGAGAGGAACGAAG